TGGTCGTGGATGTTGGAGTGGGGAACCGAGTCACTCTCTTCCTCCCGGTTCTCTGGTGTTGGGGACTGCAGAGGTGGGTTTGGCACTACCGAGCCGGCTAGTGGTGTTAGGCGTGCTCGTGTGGGGCTGACGTGGGGAGCTGGCTGGTTGTCCTCCCGGTTGAGGTGGACTGATTCGGGTTAGGTTCGGGGTCCGGGTCTGGCTTCTGTATAGGCGTTCGGCAACAGTTTCAGAAGTTGGGCTTGGACTTGGGATCTATCGTGGATTCGATTGTTTCTCTGCGGTTTCGACTCGTTTGATTGCTGGGGAAGGGCGTTCTTAGTTTAGTTGCTATGTTGTTTTGTTCGTTTTTGTGTTCTTTGTGGTGTGTTGCTAGGCTTCGTTTTTTAGGTTTGGGCAGTTGGCCTCTGTGCATTCGAGTGTCACCTTTATTACCCTGTTGGGGCCCGACACTCGGTATTACCCTGTTGGGGTGTTTTATGTGTTGTGTTGTAATAGGACTTGTGTTTTTGGTTTGGGTCGTTAGCCCCTGTGAACCCGAGTGTCAAACTTATTACTCCGTTGGGGTCCGACGCTAGGGTATTACCCTGTTGGGGTCCTTGTAGTTGTTTTAGTTGTTTGTGTTGTTGGTTAGTTTAGTTGTGAGTGTGTTTTTTTATTATAGCGTTGCTAGTCGGGATTCTAAGCGGGCTTCTGACCTGTCCTCCCACTTTTTCAGCTGTTGGCTGCTGTGTATTCGCACATTTGTGCATTTTGATTTATAAAATTATCTATCGTTTTGAAAAAAAAAACACACATCTAATGTTATGATTCGATTTTTAATTTCGGTTCTTCGATTCGGTACAGTACGGGACGGTTCGTTTCGATTCTCGGTAAGAATATTTGTGAAATCTCCAGAATCGTACCAATTATTTTTTTGGTTTAGTTCGGTTCGGAGAAAGTCAAACGCTCAACAGTTGTTTTTCGATTTGGAGTGATTTCGGTTATGTTTTTGAAGCAGTTCGGAATTCTCCGAGTTCCATGCTCAGCCCTACATTTGACTATGCTAAGAATGGGGTTTCATATTCAGTTTGTTAAATGGATTATGGCCGACATCCAATTTCCTTCCATCTCTTTCAATTTAAATGGCAAATGTTGTGGCTTTGTGACTACTTCAAGAGGAATTAGACAAGGGGTTCCTTTATCCCCTTATCTATTCATCATTATATCTTAATTGTTTTCTGCTAAAATCAATGAGGATGCTGATAGAGAAAGTTTCAAAGGGCTCAGAGTGTCAAGGGGTGGACGTTAATTGACTAACATGATGTTTATTGATGACAAACTAGTGTTCTGCAGAGCTGAAGAAAACCAAACCAGGAAACTTTTTAGTAATCTTCAATCTTTTAAGAACTTCACTATACAACAAGTCAGTATGGCTAAGTCAACCATTTTCTTTAGCAAGAATTTCCCAGTGGAGGTGCAGAATAGATGTTGCTCTTTGTTGGCAGGGATCAAGGTTCACTCTTCAACCAGGTACTCGAGGCTCCCCCTGGGTATTGGGAAGTCTAAGACAGATGCCTTTGTTATATCTTGGCTGTTTTGAATAGCAGAATTTTTAGTTGGAATAATAAGTGGTTGTCAACTGCTGGTAAGGAGGTGTTGATAAAAGTTGTTTTAAATGCTCTTCATGTTTTTACCATGTCCTGCTTTGTTCTACCTGTAGGTTATTGTAAGGAAATATGTAAGGTGTATGGGCAGTTCTGGTGAAGTAAAGGGACTAATTTTTAGAAAGGGATGCCTTGAGTGGATTGGAATAAGGTGACATTGGCAAAGAAACATGGGGGTCTGGGATTCCAAGACATACAACTGTTCAGTGTAGCCCTTATTGCCAAACAATTGTAGAGAGTGGTCTGTTAACCTAAGAGGCTGGTGAGTAAGGTTCTAAATTCAAACTATTTTCCTAACTCAACTTTGTTTGAAGCTCAGAAAAAACAAAAATCTTCTTGGTTGTGGAGTAGCTGACTATAATTGTTGAAGATCTGTGGCAACTGGATGAAGATTGAAGTGAGAAATGGAAAAAATACTAAGGTTTGGGACCAGCATTGGATTCCAAACATGGTTGAAAGGGAAATGGAGTTACTGCCAAAGATGAATAGAAGAATTGAGTGGGTTAGAGATTTGATGACCAGTGATGGCTGCCGTTGGGATGAGAGCAAAGTTAGGAGGACTTTTACTCCTGAACTATGTCACTCCATCTTGAGCATTGATTCCATTGATCCAAACCAAGATGATAAATGGACGTGGTCTTTGCATAAGAAAGGCTTTTTCTTTGTGCAGTCTGCTTATTCACATCTCATAAGAGACAAATTCCACAAATTGTACCAGGCTCAAGGGATCAAGGACTTAGATTCAGATATCAAAGTCAGAACAAAGAGAATGTAATGGCAAAGTAAAACACTTTATATGGAAATGTTGCAATGGATCTTTCCCTGTTAGCCTGATTATGAAAGCAAAAGGGATTGTGGTGGACACTACTTGCAGCCTGTGTGGTACAGATGAATCAATAGAACATGTATTCTTTCATTGCAGGCAAGCTAAAAATGTCTGGAAGATGGCACCACTGAACTAGGTTGGACCACAAGGAATGGAGTCTTTCAAATCTTGGTGGTGGCAAATATGCCAACTGGACAGGAGTGAGACTTCTGAAGCAATAATTCAACTCTCGAATTACATTCTCTGGTGGCTTTGAAAGCCTCGTAACCTTTGGCTGTTTGAGAAGACTAGGAGACCTGCGCAGCTCTTCATCAAAGCAGCAGTCCGAGAGTGGAATGCTTATTTGGGGAGTAGAAGGTGTCAGGTCTCTTAGAGTTTGTTTTGTCTTTAGGTTTTGGGTGTGTTTTTGGTTGGTCAAAGGGGTAAAGGCTTCAGTTGAGTGTAATTACTTTATCCCTTTAGTAGTTGTGTAGTTGCTTTTCTTCTTGGCTTCAGTTGTGTTTTCTAGCCCACCTGTGTGTGGTGCTCCTATCTCCCGACTTTTCGGTTTGTATTGAACGTTTTTGTATTCTAGTTTGATGGTAATAAGCATTTCTATCGTTTCAAAAAATAAAAAATAGCTATCTAAAAAAGTACGATTATATGTGTGTATCAACCGTAATGTCCGTTCTACTAACAAACACATTTATCTATATTTCTTTAGTAACATATCATACTCCTCAAATCATTGTTACCTTAGCCAAAAGATTATAGCCTCATATTATTGAACTCAAATCATCTCTTTATGCTCTCATAGCTAGAGTACCTTATTAACACTTGCTCGATTCACTCGAGCTCGATACATACTAAAATCAAAGTCAAACTCGTGTTGAGGGTTCTTTTGCATTCAAGCTGATTTGTAACGTCACGTCATATTTATTGTTAAACTAAAATATAATATATAAAAATAATAAAAATTAAAAGTTTGACAACTATAATACAATATACCAGCTCACACGAGAATTTATCGGGAATAAACGTTCTATGAGTTACGTGTCACTCAAATCTGAAAAATCGACTCATCTACCGTAATTTCATGAAACATATGACTTAAAAAGAAAGGGGGACACATATGAATTAAAAGTTTTGGCTCAATTCAAAAAAATGCTTTTCAAGTATAGTATCAATTACAATCCATACAAATTTGAATAGAAAACTTTTATCCACTCCCTGAAGAACCCCAACCCCCGAATCGCGCAGCTCTCTCTTTCAGTTTCCACCTCTTGATTTTCCGGCGCTAGCCTTCCTTGGTGACGATTAGTCACCGGCCAGTGGTCATCTTTAACCTCTCGATCCGGCCCTTGGTTCGCGAATCTCTGGGGTCCCTGCAGGGGTCGCGATTGGCGGCCTTCCCTCCGTCGCCGGCGAGTATATGTCAGGTGGTGGCGCTCCTCCGGTCTGGGTCGGTTGGTCTTCCCCGGTCGTCGGTTGTCTTCAATTGGAGGCTAATGGCCCCTGTTCTTCTTCTTCTTGCTGGTTTGTCGGAGGTCTCCCGGGTCGGTCTCGCAGTTCTCGGCGGGGCTTCCGGTGGGTTCGGGCTATGGTCGTCGGCAGTTTGCAGTGGAGTTGAGAGGCATGTGAGCCGGGGATTAGGGCGAGACCCTGAAGCTGTGGCTGTTCCAGTTGCGGGGGCAGGGGAGAGGGTTGTTTCCTCTTGCTCAATTCCTCGTTTGCCTAGTGGTGTTAGGCGGCGGGGGAGGTTCTTTCGACCTCGTCTAGTGGTGTTAGAAGAGTTCAGAGGGAATCGGAGTGGGGTGGATTATGGCTCTCTCGGTCTTCGATGGTTCTATCCGGGGACTGGTTCGGAGTTAGGGTTCTGATACTGTATAGGCTTGATTGCAGTTTCGGTAGTAGGTTCTTGGCTTGGATTGGTCTTGTGTAGATTGTTCTCTGCTGGTTCGGGCTAGCTCGTTCGCTGGGGAAGAGTTGTTAGATTTATTTTCGCTTATGTGTGTTTTGTTTCTAGTGTTCTTGTTTATATATCTGTATTTGTTTTGTGAGTGTCTTGTGTTTTTTGTTTGGGTCGTTGGCCCCTGTGAGCCCGAGTGTAAAACTTATTATCCTATTGGGATCCGACACTCGGGTATTACCCTGTTGGGGTCCTTGTAGTTGTTTCAGTTCTTTGTGTTGTTGGTTAGTTTAGTTGCGAGTGTTTTTTTATTCTAGCGTTGCTAGCCGGAAATCTAGGCGGTCTTCTGACTTGTCCTCCCATTTTTTTCAACTGTTGGATGCTGTGTATTCTGTCGTTGGCTGTTGTGTATTCGCACCTTTGTGTATTTTGATTTATATTATTATATATCGTTTTGGGAAAAAAATACAGTATCAATTAAAATACCACTATGATTTGGGCCACAAAAATTATTAACAATTAACTGAAATTAGAAAACCTATTGCTAAATGACATGAGCAAAACGTAAGTGATGACGAGACACCACACAAATTAGTAATTACGCACTAAAACACATTCTAAAAATTTCAAACAGATTCACCAATTAACTAATCAAATTTCGTGGGAAAAAGGAAAGAAGACAGTAGAGAAAGACTCGGTCATCTTTGTCCCAATTCCCAAAGCTTAGTTAGGCTCATAATTTGTTAATTACTTGTAGCACAAGATTAGATTACACACCAGACAATAATATTTCAACACTCGTGGATTGGATCCATGTTCTTCTCCTTTCATCGAGTGATTTCCGACCAAAGATTTCATCTTTCTTTCGGACGGTGCGTATTACCTAAATTTAATCAATTTCCTTTTGCCCTTTTACTTCGTCTGCGGGATTGAATTAATTGTCAGGATTAACCTTTGTACGTTTCGATGATTTGAAGAAGCCTGTGTGTGTTTATATGCCTTTGATTCTCTGGTCTGCAATGTTTATTGTTTCAAAATGATGTTTTCAATAGAACAGGAAGGAATTAAGAGATGGTGAATTTTATTGTTTTGCTTGTTCTGAAGAAATCGAGAGCATAAAATCCGTTTAGCTATAGTTCTGGACTTTATCCATTTTATCAGTGATTCGATCCTTCTATCTGATTCACATTTTTGTATTGGAGCTTTTGCTGGTTGTAACTTAAAGAGGAAGATCATCAACTGGTTGAGTCTGTTTGTGAGTTCATTTTTCGGGTCGAAACAAGCTTCTTTCATGTAGTTTCCTTTTGTGTTAATTAAAGGTTGTGTTTAGGAAAAAATGGCCTCTGCTAGAAAAGAAGTTATGAATTTGGAGTTGGGAGCTTTCTTGCTAGATGGAATCTTAGAGGCAGAACTAGTCAATAGGATGTATGGTAAAGAAGCTGTTTGTAGCACAATCTTAGTCTCATAATTTGTGGTGTCATAAAATTTACTGGGATTATGCTGCCTTAATCAGAAGTCGGACGCAGGAAACTTCTGATAGATACTACTTACTCTAGCAAAAGTTGACAAAGTACACACTCCTTAACACTGTTTATTTTTCTTTCCAGATAGATTGAACCTTGAAAGCCATGTCGACATTTACAGCCATAGCTTTTGATAGGCTGATTGAACCTGGAGCTTCAAATTCTACAGTGCCAGCACGAAATTCTCTCGACTCAAAGCTCGAGTGGAGGCACAGCCCTCCAAATCCTAGCCAAGTCAAGGAAACTGTTGCCCGTACTTCAAATTTAAGCAAAGAAGGTATCATTATTCCTGTTCATCCAAAGCTCGATAACAGGAAAAATGGTTCATCAACTACAGCCACATCAGCCGTGGATAAAAAACACCACTGGACACAAATCTCGCCTGCTCTTTACACGACCCCTGAGTCGACCCCAGTTCCTGATACACCGTCGTCATTTCCCCCTTCGCCTTATATTATTAACCACAAGAGACGGGGCCCACGGCTTGTGAAGAGCCTCTCGGAGGATGATGTTGTGACTTGTAAACAGAGTGCAGATGAGATCAAGGCAGATGAGAACGGGATTAATGGCAGTATAAAGGTTTTAGGCTATGCCGTGGAAAATTGTCTGAATGGTTCTTGTAATAATGGGATCCTAAGTCAGGATGTGGAAAATGGTCAGGAAGGGGAAAAAGGTGTGGTGAAGTCTTTTTCTGAATTCAGTTTGCAGCAAGAAGATGGTGAGGCTGATGATGATAATTTTGTCGATCCGCAGGAGTCGATGAGTGTTAAGAGCATATGTGAAAGTGAGGGTAATTGTGGAGCTGAGCAGTCCTTGAATTTGACGATGCCGTTAACTGAGTTCTATGATGCTTGGGAAGGTAAGTTTTTGTGCTGTTTAATTTTTATTTTACTCTTTTTTTTTTTTTGTGTGTGTGGATGAAGTTCTCTGAATTTATGTTGTGCTGATAAAATTGAAAAGTATTTTTGGCTTTTGCTGAATAGCTTATCAGTTTGGCAAGTTATTTTTCCTAAAATATCAGTCAAAATGCGAAACCGAGTGCAGAAGAATCTGGTTTCACTAAATAATTAATGGTTCATTTCAGTAATCAAATATTACCATAGTCCCTAAAATAGAAACATGATTTATTTATTTATTTATTTTGGTCTCTTTTGGTGAATGTGTTTCTGTATGTCCTCTCTTTGGCAGTGTTCGAATCAAACTAAATATTCTTTTAAATACTTATTTTAGTCATTCCCAATGTGAAAATCATCAAGTAACTATATATGTCACTGAAATTCGATTGGCTTCCCATGACATATTTGCATGTAATGCCTCAGAATTATCATCTGAGAGTGAAATTCAGCTCCAAATGCCTGATCTCGAGACCGAACTGCGTGAAATAAGATTGAGTTTGTTGATGGAGATAGAAAAGAGGAAGCAAGCTGAAGAAGCTTTATGCAATATACAAAACCAATGGCAGAGGATCTGTGAAAAGCTATCTGTAGTGGGGTTGACACTCTCTGTGGACCCTACTACTTTGCTTGAGGGTGAACAACAACTGGACGATCCTGCAGAGGAGTTGTGTCAACAGGTCCATCTGGCCAGGTTTGTGTCGAATTCAATCGGGAGGGGAATTGCAAAGGCCGAGGTCGAATTGGAGATGGAAGCTCAGTTAAAGATGAAGAACACTGAGATTGCTCGTTTATTGGATAGGCTTCATTATTATGAAGCCATGAACCGAGAAATGTCCCAGAGGAACCAAGAAGTTGTGGGTGAGTTTCTAAACCATGCTGTTTTGAGTTTCGAGTACCCAAACTTATTTATTATTTTTTTTTAAAAAAAAAGGAAAAGTATGAGTCGAAGGCTCGTTTACATAAATTTTTTTATATACTATGCAAAAAAGTTGACGTTAGAGGAAATGCCTTGGTATATATGAACGATTTGCTTATGGTCTGTATTTTCTTTTTTTCAAACTACATATTGTTTATCTTTTCTAGTTGATTGGCATACTATGAATCGGTACCTCAATTAAATTTTATGAATTTGCATCAAGTTATATTCCCAATTTCTGTTCACTCACAGTTTAATGTGCGGATTAGGTTTTTGTTTCGCTACATTCTCCTCATGATGCGAATAAAATTAATTTGGTGATACATAGTGAATGAAATGGATAAAGCATATACAAATTCAGTCTCCTCTAGCTCCTGCGAAATACTCTATTATTATTCTACTTTATTTTTCATTTATGCTTAAGTTTCATGCTCTTTTATGTACTCTTTTTCTCCCTTCAGCATTGTATTAGCGAAATTCTCATCGATCGTCTGCTTTATTTTATATTGTGTAGAGACGGCAAGACGACTTAGGCAAAGAAGGAAAAGGAAACAGAAATGGGTTTGGGGTTCTATTGCTACTACAGTTACACTTGGTTCGGCCTTCTTAGCATACTCTTATTTCTACACTGGAAAAACATCATCTTCCCAAAGCTTGCCTCATATTCATACATTCGACCGTGACGCAAGTTAGTGAACCAGTGAATGTCCTAATTCATACATTAGAAATAAATAACAGAGGAGGTTATACCTTATACGGATATTTGTGAATACAATCACACATATGTTTTTATCTTTTCCTAAAAAGCACGTATTTTCTGGGAATCCAGGATCTAAAAATTCAATAAAAGCATGTAGTACTGCACAATTGAAATGCCGGCCAACATATTTTAATGTGTGTATGGATGCTTTATGGAGTAGTAAGCTGCATGGAGCCATTCTACAACCTGATCTTTCTTCTGGATAGATGCTTTTGTATATTCATGACATATATTCAATTCACAAATTATTTTGCAGGTCGATATGTCATATTTTTGTTTATATTAAGTGTCAACTTTTGGAGCTATTTGTGCCTTGGCCTCCTAATTATTTGGGTGCCTCATTTTTTTTTTTTTATTTTAACAAAGTTTATTTGGGGCATTTGTGCCTTGGCTTTCTAACTTCCCACCGTAAATGTTTATTATTCTCCAGTTTGGATTTCTTAGAGTATGCTTGGATATAAAAAATTTTGGTTTTGATTGGATTTTTGGTTTGGGTTGGTTAAATTTGAAAAAGTTGGTATGGTTAGTTGTTAGTGGGTAAATTAAAATAATATTTAAAATAAAATGATTAAAATTAATTTGATGTTAAAGTAAGAGAGAGAAGATGTGATGTGATGGTTAGTTAAAATTATGTGAGTTGATGAATAGTGAATTAAGGTTGATGTTGTGTGTAAGAATGATTGATTGATATTATTTAATTATATTGATAAAATTAATGATAGTGGGGTTGAGTTAAAGTTGAGTTAAAAAAAGTGGTTGAGTTGAAAATGATTGGATTTTTTGGATTGATTTTATATCCAAGCATGCTCTATCGTTTAGTTAAAATAAAACTATGAATATATTTTTTAATTGGTTTGGTATTCTAGACTAGTAGCTTTTTTGTATTTAATTCTTAGCAATACTTTATATTATTTGTTCAATAAAAGAAATATGAATATCTGTATATTAAATGTGGGCTTTATATGGGCCTTCAATTTTTTTTAGACAACTTTGTTTATGCTGTTGTAGTTGGCTCTAATCGGTGATGGATTTGGAATAATTTTGTGATTGGGGTGCAACTTTAATCTTGTGTACCCTCTGTAATTAATAGCCCATATACTTTAAACTAGGGAAAAGGACATACATTCACATATGTCAACTTCATCCGTCTCTTTTTAAAACGGGAATAAATCCTTTACAGGTTTTAACTCCTACGACTATTTATTTCCACAAATATCATATATTAATCTTGAAAAATCTCACTCAATAAGTAGCTAATTAAATGTTGATATCTTTTATTATTATTTAATTAATAAAGAAAATAAAGATAAGAACCGNAAAAAAAAAAAAAAAAGGACCGATTCACTTCGTGAAATCTTCCACACCAGATGAAGCGAGAATTCCTTCTTGCCTGCTCGACTGGAACTAGTTCATAATTGAAAAAACAAACGATGTTCACTAATTCCGGCGACGGTGAGCTCGTCTCGTCTACCTGATGTTCAATCACACTAGTGCGTAGCCCGTGCAATGCAGGTAAATAGCATTAAATAATAATAAATTATAAATTAAAGATGCAGGTAAATAGCATTAAATAATAATAATAAATTAAATATTTGTGATTAAAATGTGATATAATTTATGTATATCGGTTTGTTATACAATATAAAATTATCATGTACAGAAGAACACAAAACATGTATGTTTAAAGTATTAAAAATACCTAAAATAACATATGTAAAGATATCTAAAATATTCTACATTATTCTTAAAAAAATGTTAAGTCACCTAAACTTCTACTAAACTATTTTGTAAAGACAAAATGTCGAAAAGAACCTAAATATATAAACTTTAATGTATAGAATAGGAAAAAAAAAATCTCTAAAAAGTATCTAAAATATTATGTGTGTGAGTATTGAATGTCTAAAAATAGTATCTAATATATTATTTGAGTAAATAAAAGTATTACAATATAATATCTCACGTTGAACTTTATGAGAGAATATTTACATAGTAGATATTGTCTATATGTCTTGTATACCAGTTTTATATTGTTACTATCAACATGTATCGCATGTCAAGTGATTTTGATTATATCTCTTTTATCATATTTTGTACCGATCCATCCATTAATTCTTATTTTTTTACCAATTTCACGAAAATATATTATACGAATTTGTGTATATCTTGCAAATGCTAACGCATTTAGTATGAAATACATCATTTGGAGTATTTTGTTAGAAATAATTATTATTCCTTGCATTGGAATATAATACATAAACCTATATAGAAATTTCGGAAATTTTTATTTTGTTCAAAAATTTTCAAATTATGAAAAGCTATAAAATAAAAATATAATTATTGAAATTAATATGATATAAAATAATCAATTATTAATTTAAAATGGTTGAAACTTCGAATATCAGACGTGTAATAATATTATTTTAATTGCTAGGTTTGTAGTAATATTATTTGATATCCATTCACAATCTTATTGGCAAAAATTTAAATTTTTCTTCATAAATCTAATTAAACAAAAAATGAATAATCATTTCTCTTCATTATTCATATCCTAATTAATTAGGTAATTGATTTTAATCTCGTTAATCTTGTTTTATCTACCAACAAATACTCAAATTATCCCCTAATCTAACGTGTTGCCCTTGTCATATCATATATTATTATAGATTTGTTACTAAGATAACGATGGATTTTTTATTTCAATTTTTGGAATTAAAATATTTTCCAAAAAAAATTAAAATACAATTAGGCAAGCTTTTTTTAAACTTAAAATTTAAATATAACAAATTCCATGATTTATGGTAGCATTAAATGCGGCCTAATTTTTTTATTAAAAAAATAAAAAAATTCTAAAAATAGAATGTAATTAATATTCCTAGATTTTTTTGCTTACTATTTTTAGTAAATAGTAATTCTTATTATATATATATATATATATAGACTAGTCGTACGTACGTCACGATCATCCTAAAAAAATTGAGTTTTATTCTATCAGACAAACAACAAAAGAAGAATTAGTTGCAAATAAATATACTACAAATATACAAAATATATACCACAAACATACTCTATAAGGTTTTTAAAAACCAAAATAATCAATATACAATATATATACGAACAATATACAGTATATATACAAAAAAATATATAGTATATATACCAAAAACCAACACCAACATACTTATAAACAATACATATACGAAAAATATACAATATATATACCAACAATATACAATATATATACCTACAACTATATGTGTATGTATGTCCTTTTCCGAGAAGCTAATACCTTCGAAGTACATGTAGACCCCGTCCTTTCGACGCTAGGGCTTGCGCTGGCGAACAATGACGACGGGCATGACTTTCTTACTGAGATTGGGATTGCCCTTCTTCACAATGGCCATCACCATGTCACTGATGCAGGCAGAAGGAAGCCTATTGAGGCGACCATTGATCCCCTTCACCAAAATGATGTAGAGGTTCTTCGCGCCGATGTTGTCGGCGCAGTTCACCGTCGCCGCAACCAGCAGACTTAACGACATCCTGAACTTGTTTCTCACGGACGCGTCCTGACCGCAAATAGAATTATAGTTAAACAAAAGAAAAAGTACAATACACCACACATCGATCAAATCCACATAGAGCGAATTGTGAACTTTGAACTGCATGTCGGCGCCGATGGTGGGAAGAGAAAGAGGGTTGGCGTGACACGGTATAAAGAAATCCGGATAATATCCCCTTAACTCAAATATGTGCATTATACCATAACTTAAGAATGTTTGACTTAGTAAGACATTAATATATGTAAATAAAAATAATTGCATACAATAATCACATATATAAGTGTGATATGAGAGTCGCTTCAAATGAAAACACTTATGAGTCTAAATTGTTGTCCATAGCTAAAATGGACACAACATTCGAACAAAATAAAGTTAAGGCTCTATTGTACGAATGTCATTGTCTTAGTGTATACTATGAAGGTTGTTCAAAACATTATGTCCACTTAGCAGTCAGTACATTCGATAATGTTTATTAAGAATGGTTCAAAGTCACAAGCTACACTTTATGATGCAACAAAGTATTATGAGGATTGAGCACAAGAGTTTGCATACATGCATACATTTGATTTCAAGTCATATTGGGAATGTTAGAAAATCAATTAATTAAAATTGAGTTTGACCCGGATGACTGATTTTTAAGGCTAAATATTTAATTCGTATTGAATTATATTATGTAGAAAAATTTCACATTCTGAGTAGATACTCGTGGTATATTTATTTTCTCAAAACATATTTTATGTGAGTAAGAAATAAATGATTAAAGTTAGCTATTAATGAGAATAACAAACGTTGTTGTAGAATTCGAAGGGTCAACAGTCCTGGACTCTAAATGAGGATAACTCCACATTGCACTGTTCACCAATGATAACTCTCTTTATTGCAGTAAAGAGAGTTTAAGAGGTAAAAAACAACAAAACTATATACCAAGTTGACCGCGCGTCGCAACACGGCAAATTTAAATTTATAATTTTCCTCGACTTACCTCTACTAACTAGTAGTAGCGGCGAGTAAGAGTCGATCCCACAAGGAGCGGGAATTAAATTGTGATGATTCTCGTATTAATCAAATTACAACTAGGAAAGTAATAAAAGGTGGGGGGATTAGTTTTATAAAAATAAAAATAAATAACAAAATAAAATAAAAATCAAATAAAATGAGAGTCCAGTTTTTCGGTTCAGTTATCACCCAATCTAAATCTACCGTTAATTAATTTCGACGCCTTTTTATATCGCTAACAAATTATCAACCTTAGCTAACAACAAGCTCTGTTAACCGAATTTTCCCTTACCGATTATTTAATCGAAATAAGCTCTTCGACTAAACCTAACTAGCGGACAACCTAAAATAAGCTCCCTAGATTTAATTCACTAGCAGCATTAATCTCTAGGAAAATAGATCAGGCTAAGCAATGGACGCAAAAGCTCGGACTATTTAACTTATGTTCACGATACCCTAGAGATGCACGACCCCTAGTTTGCTACTAACGAAACGAGACAATAACAATTACGGATTAAAGTCCCGAATCTAGCAATTAAACTATGAACATTCAATGTATCTGGCCAAACTAATCGAATACTCATAATTCATAAACATTAAACACAAATAGTATGAATCAACTCATCAACAAAAATAAATACGACGTTTTAATTAACCAACGATAAAAATAAATCCTTCAATTCATAGACAAATCAAAGTTAGGGTTCAAACATCCCCTAAAACTGGATAAACTCTAATATACCAATAAAAATAAATACTAGATAAAAGAGAAAGAATAAAATCTCTCTCGTGTGCGAGTGCGGCTTCCCTCCGCGTGTGTACTCTCGACTTGTCTTTCTGTTTGCGGTATTCTTCTGAAATATTCGTTCTGTGGCTGACGGCTTCTTTTTTTTCGTCTCAGTGGAGTCCCTCAAATAATTCTCATATGCCAATATATATTCACGACCAAAGAGATCTCCCCCAATTAAATTCCTCTCCAATCAAAATGCGTGGCCCCGCTGCTTTGTATTTTTTATTTTCAACCAAATAATCAACTTATCAAAATAAATCTAAGTCCCCCACAAATTAATTCTCCCTTGGTGCTGCGAAATAAAAGGGTAATTTTTATACATACCACAAGATTTTCAAAATATTGTAAAAATACGAGATGCAGCAACTTAATTGCATTAATACCTAACTAATACAATACCCGTGTACTACACGGGTTGTTTGAAAAAAAATATATAAAACATAAAATAATAGAAAACTCACATGTTGTCGTATAAAAGTGCAAAAATAGAAAATACCAAAGTCGATACTATTTCAAATTTTGAAAAGTTTCTTTGTACACAACATTAATAGTTTTATTTACAATGTTTCCATCCTTATCACAATACAGAATTTTTAAGCATCTCCTACTTTTAACTCTAGATAATGCAACATAAAGTTGACAATGACTTAATACAGGATTAGGAAAGTACAATCCAACGTTAGACAATGTCTGTCATTGACTCTTATTAATAGTCATTGCAAAACAAACCATCTCGTTCATACTTAACGACTTCATCAATTTTGATGACCTCGACAATGATATCTATGTTTAAATCAAATAACAAAAGTAAATATATTATGACTATATTTGGATGTAAAAAAGTTAATAGACGTTAAAATAAAATTACGTACCACATAAGAATTTCGTGTAGTCAGAGTTGCCCCTCAATTCGCTAAATTTTACGAAATTGAACATATAGCGAGGGATATCTCGAGATTCGGAGTTTAACTGTCGTACACTCGTGAAATTTTAACATATACTGATGTTGGGTGGTTTTGTAATCACCTTTGTTCTCTTGTATCTCAAAATTTGTCATTATGTAAAATGACCCCTCTTTTATAATATCTTCATATTTCGAGATGCGCCATCTCAGAATGGTCGTTTCAATTTTTCCACCCAATAAGAATATAATGAAATTCGTATTATTTCAAATTTACACAAAGAATAAATATTTCAACCCTATACGGCCAATAGTAAATTAATATTAGTAAACAAAGCACTGATTACGATTAGGCTGGGCGTAAATTCGTTTAATATTAGTAAATTTCACTTTATTAGACCTTAGGTTTATATGAAAAATTTTAGTTACTAATCATTTTTTAGATTTTTAAGAGGGAAAGGAAACATCTGTTTAACTAAATAAGGACTGCAGCACAAGGAGAAAAGAAAAGCCAGATTACCAATTGAGCAAAAACCTTTTTGAGGTCATGTTTCTATAAATATATATTTATACTATCAATGGTTGTGGTATGAGCTATACAGTCAACTCATCAAACTGTAAAGAGATCTACAGATCCTTAGTAAATTGAGCAGATTTTCTCTCAGAACTTTAACATCTGAATCAGAAACATGATTCTGTTACAAGTTGAGACGCCCTATCTTGATCAGCTTAAAGAAATAAAAATCTAAGGAAATGAAATAAAAGGCAAAAATAAAAAAACATAGCTTCATACATCTCTAAGAAACAAGAAAATTATCAATATTCATAGCCCACCAAAAATACCAATGAATTTGAACATAACAAAGAAAAAAGTTTGAATCTTGAAAAAATAAAGAGGACCAAATTCTCAATTCATCCAAGAAATCAAAATCCCTCAAATTCACACAACATAAACAAAAAAAAACAAATAAATAAAAAAAAAAACAAACAAATAAAAATCCCTGTTTTTTCACCAGTCTGTAAAGAACATCCCAACTGAGAAACTCTTTTCAGGTTGGTTCTTGTCATGTTTGAACCATACACGCTCACAAGGGCAGTACAAACCCCTTTACCCCCTCTAGACATGTCCCCGTCGAGTAGGAGCTTCGCAAATCTCTCCTTCATCATCTCAATTTCTATAATCATGCCAAAATTACTCAGATTAGTAATTAAAGGCTTTCAGAAGCTTAGATAAATAAGTAAAAACAAATTCCTCACAGTTAAACCCAATCTACGGTTAACATAGCTTGTATTGGTGCAAGAAAAACTGTACATTATGTTGGGTTCGCTAGTACCGTACGGGCTGTACGCAGCGGAATTTAAAATTTTAAAAATAAGTATTTATCGTATAAATACAACACCCGTACATACTAATTGCGAATTAACTGATCGTCATCTTTAAAACATGCATCATATACAAATTTTGATTTGTTACTATAAAATAAATACTAGTAAAAATATTTACCGAGTGTCTTGAACTCCTTCAACTATGATGTGGATTGTGGGAATCGGTTCCCGGTTGTAACTTCAACGGCTTGAGGTTACTCGCTTTAGGAATCCAAGTGTCTTCCCTCTAAATGTATCCACCCTATGAAGCCCGGTTCCGACGACTTTCCTTCGCTAGTAGAAAAGACTCGGTTTTCTTGTATAGGAATATTTATGAATTTTTATTTGGGAATTTTCAAGAACTCTTTCTTGAATTATATGAAGAACACTTTCTTCTCTCTTTCTAACACTTAGAAATTTTAGGATCAAAACTTCTCTAAATGCAAAACCATTTTGCACATATTTATACTAAACATTTTAGCATAAAATAATCAACATTTAGTAATATTTAAATAAAATCAAATTTTATTTAAATAGTATTTACTAACTTTTGACTTTGAAAATAATAAGATATGTTAAGTAGTTCAAACAACCATCAACAACCATTTTATTATAATCATATTTATTATTTTAATCCTTAAATCATATTTAAAGATATAAATAATAATTGAATAATAAATCTTGAGAATCTTTCTCAAGACTTTATTATTATATGATTTTCCCAATATTATAATAATCATATTATTATTATTTTGGATTTTGAAATTTAAAATCCTATTTTAAAATTCAACTTTATTAATTTAGTAATTACCTTAATTACTAAAGTAATATCCAAAATGTAATTAATCAATCTTATTGATTAATATATTCCTTTAATTGATATCTAATCAAATTAGATATTTATCAATTAATTCTAACCATTAGAAATACAATCTTTACCTTTGTTCATAATTAGTGTGACCTTTTAGGTTCACCTTAATACTAGTAGTGGGTTTACAACACTTTGTAATTTGAGTTAAATCTTATTAACTCTTATTCATGAATTAACCCTTT